TCTGGAATGTAGGACAGTCAGAGTCCATGTGTTGCAGCGGTGATTTTCGAATGAATCTTACCTCAGTGCATTTTCGCTTCATTGCTACACAAACAGACAGCCCTGCGTGCGTTTGTCAACCACGTGTACATGTGTGTAAGGGAGGCACAGAGCATGCGCGTGCGTGCTGCCGCCCCCCCGCAGATCAAGCGCATGCTACTTTGCTCTATTCCCATTGTCAGGCAACCTCCCTCACATTTATAAACGACATTGATGCCGCCCGAATCCTGGGAGCCGTTCGCGGCCTTGATGACGTGTTCTTGGCGGCGCGTGCTGTCCTCCTGCTGATGCGACATCAACGGCGATAAGCGATCGCAGGTGTTGAGCAAGCGAGTGGAAAGGCAAGGGCAACAAGGGACGAAAAGGACCCACCTTCAACGCGGCGCTCGCTGCGGCCAGACTGCTTTCACAGACGGAGAGGTCCAACGTCACCGGGCCGCCCGCCGAGCCGCCCAAAGGGTCCATGAGGGAACGAACCAACGCCCAGAGAGCGCTTCACATGCTCTGTTGTTGGGAGCTTGAGTCAGCAATTGTTCTGGAATGTTCTAGACGTACTTTTACTACAGAGACATTCGTTCTGGAATGTTCTAGACATACTTTTAGTACAGAGGATGCGAGTGACGTTTACTACAGAATGTCTTCAGGTTTCTCCCCCGGTTCTCCCCGGTTTCTTGTTGTCAACTTTTGAAGTTGCTTTTCCCTAAAACGTCCCTGTGTTCCTCACGTGTCACACCTCTGTAGTAAACGTCCCTCTACAGTCAATAACCCCGCGAAGCGCCACGTGGTGAGTCACATATCTATCACGTTCGAACACATGCCTTATGCACGGACGTGTTGTCTGTAGTAAAGTCAGGACTCAAGGGGATGTACCGTATTTAATTAGATAAATGTCACCGTGACATTTGACTTCCCCGGGGTGGGGTGACATTTTACTACGAGCGACATTTCGAGGGCGACATTTCAGGTTACGAGTCAAAAGACCAAAAACGGCCAAAAAGTGTCAAAAATATGACTCACGTGCAGGGCGACGCACATCCGGCGCCGGGCTCGAACTGGCTGCGTCCAGCTTGCAAATCCGTGCTGTAACCTACTCGACTATCACGGACGGCGGAATTGAGAATGTCGTGCAGTAATTACCATTTATAGTCCATGTTGCTACGTGCGACATTTCCAGGGCGACATGTCAGGTTATGAGTAGAAAACCACAAACGGGCAAAAAGTGACGGACAAAAAGCCCAACACGTGCGAAAAACATCATTTCATTGACGTGCACGCAGGCGTCTGCCGACGACGGGAATTGAACCCATGATCTTTTGCCTACATGACCACATCCTTATCCACTACGACACTCTGACTCACCGATTGAAAAAACATGGGTGTTGCGACGTACATATATCAAGTATATTTTTCGATTTTATCACTACGAGGGCTTCTAGGGGGGGTGACATTTCACTACGAGGGCTTCTAGGGGGGGGGGCGACATTTCACTACGAGGGCTTCTAGGGGGGGCGACATTTCGTAGTGAGTCTTCACTACGAGTTCCCAGGGGGGGGGTGACATTTAGTGGGTCACCGACATTTGTCTAATTAAATACGGTACACTGTACATGTATCCCGTGGAGTCCGAAAATGTGTCCGTGATACGAAGCTTCGTACATGGATGGCCGATTGGAATGCCGCAGGTGCAAAGGAAATAGATGGCGTCTGGCTTGTTGCACCGCAAATCTCCGATGTTTGTCCGACCCCCTTAGAAGGGGGTCGCAGTGCGATCTCAACTTTAGCGCCAAAGAAAGAATAATTAAGGGGGGGGGGTTAGTCGGATTTTATGGAGATTTTATCCCTGGAACCAGGTGAAAGCCCCGCTCAGGTCAGGAGAGTCGGTTCACCTACAAGACACAAAGCACGACACGACACCACGAACGCGGAAGATGGTACACTCTTCAGCGCAGCCTGCTCTTTCTGCCGTCTTCGCCTCTGCCGCGTCCTGCCCGGCTCTCCTCCTTCTGCAACTCCGCGTCAACGTCACGGCGGCCACACGAGACACGTGGTGCCACGAGCAAGACCCGACCATCTCGAATAGCAAGGCCGCGGGCGACAGCGAAGAGGAGAACGTCAAGACGCCTACCCGGATCTCGGAGGTGCGGTCGCGGGAAGAGCTATGCCGTCGGAAACCCGTGAGAGCTTGGGTGGCGGCCTGTGTATGTAAATAAAGTATTCACCGCATGAGATTGCCCTGTGTCGCCGCTGCGCCTGGTGCCCTTCCACACCGCCTGGCGCCACGATTTGGGTCGCAGGGGCTCCACATGTATCAGTAGATGTCCACCGGTAAGGCCGTAGACGAAGGATCCGATTGGTACGACCCTCGCACGAAGCATCGCAGATCTCCACCAGCAACCCGGTGCAGCTTATAACCGGATCGGGTACACTGGTAAATTTCAGATAAACCGGACATATCTGTCCTCATCTCCCGTCCGCAATTCCGAGGCCCCTGGGGACTCCTACCGTAGGGTCCTACGAATAACATTTTCCCGGATTCTTGCAAGGACCCGGTAAAACCTGCTGCCGGTTGCTGGTGGCTAGCGCAATGTGTTTTCTGGCGCTGCAGGTCCACGCGTGGACTGGCAGATAAGTGTGTGGATCATTGCAAAAATATGCGCGTATTATCGAGGACACCGGAAAAACCTCAAGGACCTCAAGGACCAGGGGATGGCTGTCATGACCGAGGACGAAGATGCGGACGGTCCGTGTGGGAGCAAGCTCTGCGTGCAGAACCTTTTGAGGCTCAACGGGCACCTTGGCACCCGCGCCTCGCCAAGGAGCACAAGGCACTTGCGCAGAGGGTGTGGACGCTGGAGGTGGAGCACGCTGCTGATGTGGAGAACCTCGAGGCGACGCACACGGCCGCTCTCAAGGCGCAGTAGAAGCGCCTGACTCCGACGCTCGCCGATCTGGTGTGTGTGTGTGAGTATGGGAACTTTTGTATCCCTTAAGTGCCCAGGTAGTCAAATTTGACGGCCAAGAGGTCCTAGGCAGGTCCTAGGGCCCTACCGTAGGACGTATGATCCTACTGGGCATTTAAGGGATACCTTCACACACCCGATGAGGATACCCTTTAGCTGATTTCTGCCGCGATCCTCTGCACCGGGGGGCCTGAATGTGATCCGAGAGAGGAAGCATGGCTTTTCTGCAGAACCAGTTCCGGTGTCCGCCTATGTTGGGAGCTCGAAGAACCTAAAGGACCTAAAGGACCGAGTAGCAGCTTCTCCAGCTCTGCAAGCGTTCGACGAGGAAGCGCAGGGACCTCAAAGCGCTGGAGGTGGCAGGCATGCTGGACATGCAGCAGCATGTGCGCGACCTCAAGAAGGGGTTTGGGGTTTAGGGTTTAGGGTTTAGGGTTTAGGGTTTAGGGTTTAGGGTTTAGGGTTTAGGGTTTAGGGTTTGGGGTTTAGGGTTTAGGGTTTAGGGTTTAGGGT